TCCGCGTCCGCGAATGAAAATCAATAATTACGATCGAAACAGTCCAAATTTAAATTTAAGGCTACAAAACAGTTATACATCGCTATCCATACCGGATAGTACCAGATCGAGTTTGTTGGACAGTCCAAGACAAAGAATGTCGCCGAAACATATGACAATTACTTCCAATAAACTAGCCAATCTTGTTCATCAAGATCATCTGACTTCGAGAAACTTGGAATCCAGAACAGATTCAACTTCCAGAGTATTACAAATCCGAAGAAATATGGAAATACTGAAACATTCCGAATCGATCAATACTATAGAACCAATGACACACGTCCGATTATTAGAGCCTTATAAGATCATGGAAAGCCTTGCAGTACCTACGGTACATTCGGAACCACCAAGTCCCATAGATCCACTTCCTCTTGCCTCTTTGCAAGAAGAGGACGTGAAAAATTCCGAATCGAAGCCTTCCATTAATATCGATTATTTGAAATCTCCAATGGGTAATAGAAGAAGTCCAGTTAGACATTCAGATCCTGTGATACCATCCGTCTTGTTGAATATCGAAGATTATAGTGAAAATCACAAATCGAATAAATCTAGTCATGATAGTTCCTTCAATAATCTGGCATCGTTGGATCAAATGGCATCGATAGAACCTATAGATCTGTTCGAGGCTTTGTTGAAAAATTCGGAAAAGTGTCGAGAAGGAAGATTACCAGAGCCAATCTTCGCTGAACACGATTCCACGAGATTTAGTTCGAGAAGACCTTCGGATTCGAAATGGTCAGAATCGTCGAGAAGTCAAGAAATTCTATCCAATGTAATTACCGAACATCAGACATTTCCTTCGTCCTATTCGGTGAACAATTTTCAGGTTTGCAATAGCGGCAGTGACCTAAACGATCTGACATCCCTGGATCCATTCATGTGTCCGGACGCACTAACATCATCGTTACGCGAATCCTTCTTCAGCGCCCCATCTGTACCTGATTCAGAGATTTTCACATCGTTCGAAGATGAATCCAATTTCGCATCTGATTCTGAACATAATTTATCCCCATATGATTCCAAATCAACGATCAATTTGAAAAAATCAACGATCGAGACCGATTTACAAAGCAAGTCTACGGAGTCTATGTTTCGAAATAGATGCCTGTCGATGAAATCGTGCACGATCTTGCGATTAGAACCCTCGTTACATCGAAATAGGTTACGTATCAAACCTGGAGCGGATTATATTCTGAAAGATATGTCTATTAAGAATTCGCATTTAGCTCCGCTCGCCACACCAACACCCACTGAAATTTGTACTCCCACATTCGAACTTGTTTCAGAAATAAAAAGTGACAATGGTGTCGGCGTAAGAGTATAGATTTATCGTAAAAAAGTATAGATTTATCTTTCGAATCAGTTGATGAACAAAATGATGGTTCGTTTATTTAGATTTTAGATGAACATTGTGAAATAAAATTAAACATCGTTAGTTAGCATTGTCTTTCGATTGCAATGTTATCTGTTCATCGAACAAGAATTTTTATGATGTATCACGTTGTATAATGATGCGATTACACGTCTGTATTTTTATAATAACTCGATGCTGATAAAATTATTCTGTCTATCTTTTAAAAAAGGCGTACTGAAATGTAGATTATTGTGAAACAATGGAATCGAACTTTCAAGTTGGACTGTGATAGTACGACGTGTCTTTAAGAGGATCATAGAACGATCACATGAAAGAGGAAATTCTATAATCACTTGACGATGATCCTTTGACTCCTAAAGATCAAAATATTTCTTTAAAGGATGAAGAATTTATCACTTTTTATTAAAGAATTTATGGAAAGAACTATTTTATTCTATAAAAATAATACAATAATTTACTTTAACATTAATTTAGAAGGAGTCTTAGAATTAAAGTCGTTACAAATTTGTAATATATTACACGATTCACATTAAAATATTTATGTTAGTATAAATTAAGATATTCAAAGCGTAAAATATTAAGAGAAGAATGACTACGAAAAATATATAGATAATGAATTAATCTATTGATGAAAATCGCTATTAAGAAAGCAATGATAGCTGGATTTGTATCTATAGATATTCTTTAAATCTTATATCAATTATATTTATCAAATTTTGTCTCGCTGATTACGGTTGACTTGGCCGATATTTAAATATATTTCAACGTTATTTTAAACGTTATCAGAACATTGTGCCAAGCGAATTACGCAAGATTTTTAAACAATTTTCGTTCTCCTCTGAAGAATTAAAGTAAGACAGTAAACTATGAACTACATATATTGCCGTTTGTGTACCTGATTATAGTTGATAATTTGCTGGCGAACAAAGTTTTTCATAAAATATATAATAAAATGTTGATGGATAGTTTTTGTCCTTACAGTCAACGAAATCTGCCCGGCTCATATCATTTAAGTTACACTTCATAGTTTTAAATTTCTCTTTCGACCGATTACTTAATCATATCCAATTTTAATTAATTTAATACATACAATTTAATAGTTCGTGAGATGATGAATAATCATTTATTATTAACTATTAGGAAAACTAATCAACCTCGTTCCATTTCTCTAAAATTCTAAATAATGATCGGCATTTTAAAAACAAATATACGATAAATATTGTTAGAATTATGAATGAATATTATTTTGTAACAATATTCAAAGAATATGAATATTTTAACAAAAAATGAAAGAATCGTTGTTTCAACTGATCACATAAGATACACAACTGATAACACAAAAGGCAACAAGAATCATTTTAGATCGAATACAAGATGTAATTTATTTAAGAAAATTGTACAGTAGAAGGAACGTAAGGACCAAACATTTTCAATATACGAATTCTAACGTGAATGTCATCAGTCCTTGACTTATAATTAGTTAGATAACTTATAATTAGCTTATAATTATACGATAAAAAATTTTTAATTTAATTGATTGTATTCTTTTACAATATCTCGTAGTAATTATAGTCTAATTGATATTTGAATTGATTTATAAATATCTCTATCGAAATTTTTGATTTTTACATCATATTTTATTATTAAATCATATTGTTATAAAAGTCGCTTTGCCACTGTAGACTTTTAAAAAAAAAAGAAAAAGAAAACTATCTTGAAACTCAGATTATTCTTTCAACTATTCATAACATCATTAAATATTGAAAACATATATAAGTTCACAAAAAGATTCTCTATGAAATAAAATTATTTTTATCATATAATTTTTTAAAATCCTACATTCATTTAAATATGAATATGTATCTCATATTATTGATATTATTTATGATGGAACTTTTACATTTCAATTCAATTAATAAAAAATATGTGTGATGATAAAAATGTTTGTAAAAAGTAAAGATAAATTTAACAGCATGAATTCAATTTTCACTACAATCAATATAAATTACTTTTAAAAATTTTATATTTCTATAAATATTCATTCTTTTCAGTAATTTCTAATTATAAATATAAATTATAAATTATATAAAAATTCTAATTGTTTTACATTTGTAAAATAAATAAGAATTAGGAATTCTAAATAAAATTCTAAACAAAAATTATAATTTATAAATTTATGAATTTTTATAATTCATAAATTTATCGTATTTCATTTTTACGAATTTTATTTGCATTCTAAACTTGTCTTTTATTTACTTTCTATAAATTTATTACATTCATTAAACTCAATATCATATAAAAAAATTTTAAAGATAATTTACAACTTGATTCAATAAACATCTGAATTTAAATTTTTTTTCAATACAATTCAAATAATTTTCTAAATTTTTTAAAAATAAATATTAATGCTTCACTGTATTAATGACTGTAAATGATGTACAATCATTTTTTTAATTATATGTATAATAATAAAAACAAATTTCATAGCTTTAATTCCTTAAATATGATTCGTTCTATGAAATGTCTTCCATTTGTGTAAATTATGGAGGAACAAACGAATGAAAATCTTAGTTCGTTCTTGTGTGCTCTATTTTAAGTTGTAAATTAATAGCGCCCTATGGTACTCAAGGTTCTGTACAAATAAAAGAACATTTGTCAAAATGAGAGGTACTGATATATTTTTATGAAATAATATTTTATCGTTCTTTGTAAATATAGAAATATATCTAAATAAAAACAGAATTGTAAACTATAAATTTATGTGAAACTATTCTGCTATTTAAGTAAAAAAAAATAATATATTATCGATATATTATTATCTATTTGACAACATTTTATTCTCTAATATTCAATTTATTTATCGACTAATTATGACTGATATAGTTTCATAAAATGATTCTTTATAGATCTTAAAACAAAAATTAATTTTATGAATACTTTAACAAAAATCAAAACTTTACAAAACTACTACTTTAACAAAACTACTAATTTTAAATAAATTTTAATTAAATCATACTACTAATTTTAATTAAATCATAAACTACTGATTTATTCTTTAAATTTGTTTCTATTATAAATTTCTATTATACTTTCTCTTCACAATACTTATTTATTTCTTAATTTATTTACAATATGATATTAAGCATATAATAAATATAAAAGTCTATGTTTTTGTATATACGTATAGAAAGATATATTTAATATATTGATTAGATAAAAATCACTTGAAGTAATAATTTATAATTTAATCTTAAATTTTGAAATAATAAAAAAAACTTTCAAAAATAGTAAATAGTTTTATTAAAAATTCCTAATAAATAATTTGAAAATAAAATATATCACAATCATTATCTCAATTATTATCGGAGATGACGTTGAGGTATTTCAAATAATTCAAATACGATTTATTATATATTTTTGCAATTTATTAAATAATAAAAATACGATAATTAATATATAAATTTATTTTAAAATTATAAATATAATACATTTAATGCATATGTAAAAAAAAATATAAAATTAATGAAAATTCTACCTTGAAAATGTAAATGCGTGCGCAGAAATTATATCCTATATAGATACTGACATAACCTCCTTGATTTGTAACCATATTTATGTAGCATATGACACACTTTTCTAGAAATCTTAGAAATCTTTGTTTAATTGTACAAAAAAAGTCAGAAAGTGATTAAAATTTTAAAAAAATGACAACACAAAAAGATGAAATTGACATATCAATGTTAAATGGAAAAACGGATGAGGAGGATATTGTAACACCTTGGGATGTTGTAACCAAAAATGAAACCGGAATTGATTACGATAAACTTATTAGTAAGTTTCACTAAAAATATCTTTTATATGAAAGTTTTAAAAAATATTTTTATGAAAAAATAAAATTATTGCTATTTTATTAATTTAATTTCATAATTACTTCGTATCTTTCAAGAGAAAATAAAAATAAAATTTATATGATAAATATATTTAAATATATGTAATAACTCATTCTCTTTTCTATAAAATTTCTATTTATTATACAGAAAAGTTTGGAAGTTCAAAAATCGATGAAGAACTATTGGCTAGGTTTGAGAAAATCACTGGACATAAACCACATCATTTTCTTAGAAGAGGAATATTCTTTTCTCATCGAGATATGAATACTATTTTAAATCTTTATGAACAAGGAAAACCATTTTATCTTTATACTGGTAGAGGACCTAGTTCAGATTCTATGCATTTAGGACATCTCATACCATTTATGTTTTGTAAATGGCTGCAAGATGTATTTCATGTTCCTTTAGTTATTCAATTGACTGATGATGAAAAAGCAATATGGAAAAACATAAAAATAGAAGATGCAATTAAATTATCTTATAATAATGCAAAAGATATTATTGCTCTTGGATTTAAACCAGAGAATACATTTATTTTTTCTAATTTAGAACATATTGGAAATAATCCTGCATTCTATCAAAACATGATTAGAATACAGAGAAGTGTTACATTTAATCAAGTGAAAGGTATTTTTGGATTTGGAGATAGTGATCCTATTGGAAAAATTTCATTTCCACCAACTCAAGCTGCTCCAGCAATTTCTGGAACATTTCCTTTTATTTTTAAAGATGCAAAAGTTAATTGTTTAATACCATGTGCTATAGATCAAGATCCTTATTTCAGAATGACAAGAGATATTGCACCAAAAATTGGCTATCCAAAACCAGCTTTGTTACATTCTATATTCTTTCCTGCTTTACAAGGCTCTAAAACAAAAATGTCTGCTAGTAATAATAATACTGCAATATTTCTGACAGATACTGCTAAACAAATAAAAAATAAAGTTAATAAACATGCATTCTCAGGTGGACAAGCTACTGTTGAAGAACATAGACAATTAGGTGGCAATTGTAATATTGATATAGCATATCAATGGTTACGATTCTTTCTAGATGATGATGAAAAATTAGAACAGCTTAGAAAAGTAAAATTTTGATAAAAATGAAAATGTATTTTTTAATTTTATATTATATAAATATATATAATACTAATAATATGTAAATTTTCAGGATTATACTAGTGGAGAAATTTTAACAGGAGAACTTAAAAAAGAATTAATTAATGTATTACAGCCTTTGATAGCTGCACATCAAGAAGCTAGAAGTAAATTAACTGATGAAACAGTTAAACAATATATGATTCCTAGGGATCTTGGCTTTGTAACAAATGTAAAATAGTTAAATATAAATTGCTTATTATGTATATAAAGTATATAGGAAATCCATTTTCACCAGTATATTTAATTTTATTTATTTTAGCAACACAAATAAGAAATTTATTTAAAAAGTTTATTTTTTATGTTAAAATCATAATAAATTAAAAACTGCTTTTATAAAAATATGTATTGAATATTTATATATTTACAATTCTTATATATAAGTAAAAATTATTATAAAAATGTAAAATATATTTTAATTTTTTAAAAAAATAATATTAATATTATTATTTATTAAAATTATAAAAAAATATATTCTATTTTTATATTTTATGTATAATTATTTATATGTTAGGAATAAAATAAAATAGGTATAAAATATATTAATTATATAATATTCAATATAATTTTCAATACAATTTTGTAAAATATATAAAATATTTAAAAAAGATTTCATTTATATGATTTATATAATTATATATATATATATATATATATAATACATATAAATAATACAATATTTTCTATATTATTTTCTAATTTTTCATAGTATTTTTTATCGTAAGATATCAAATTAAAGTACTTTTATTACCCGCCATTTTTATTATAAAAATATACGATTATATAGTAACATTTCATGAATATAAGATCTATTTTTATAAATAGTAAAAGAATTTTTTCTTGACACAAATTCAAATAATTTATTTAAGAAAAAATTTATTAAAAATAAATAAAATTTATATAGAAACAATAATAATTTTTTAAATTTTATAATATATTTTATATCTATAATATTTAGATAATTTTTATATCTATATATTATCTATATTTATATAATATATAGATAATTTTATATAATTTTATATAATTATATAAAATTATATTAATTAAATAATGAATATTATTATAGAATATAATTTTTTATATAAATTTTCCGATATTATAATTAAGCCAATAAAAATTCGTTAAAATATATTTCAAAAAATAAACTATATACATATGTTTATAAAATTTCGAAATTTAAATGAGCTGCGTTTATTGACTATAACAATATTGATAAACGCAATAATCAGTGACAGTATAATTTATCATCGACAAAAACTTCATGTTTTTGTTTATATACTTGTTAGTGAGAGTTAATGCTAGTATCGCGCGCGAGTTAATTTTACTTCAGGATCCTATATGATTACCCAGGCTTGAGCGGAAATCGTAGGCTTTTGATTGGCGGATTATGACGCCACAAAGCATACTATTAATAACCGACGCATGCGCAGAAATTTACCTAGTGTATATCCGTCATTCATGCAAGTCGATTTCGTTGGTTCTGTGTGTTGAGCCTAGCAAAAGAACATGGTGATAGTGATATGAAACAAGTCTATTAGCAATACCACGCTCTACACATATATATTTTCGCGAAATAACGATGATATTTGGTCACGATCTTCCTACGTAAGTTTCACGAATATGTAGACTGAGGTATAAACTATTTTAGTCGCAAAATTTGGCATTGCCAAATAATTTCTCATTAGAATCTGATACAGCTTACGCTCGTGAAATATTCCATTTCTGTATTCAATTAATTTACAACATTGATAAGGCTACTATAATTATTATATAGTGAACGTAGTTGCATATAATTCGAATGTTTCATTTATGTAAACGTTACCGTGTTTCGTTTGAAATATTTGTATGTTGAGATTATCTTGTACGTTACGTTAGATATTGGAATAATGTTGTGTTTTAATTATCTTCTTTCTTTGCTTAAATTAAAATTATAATTATAACACAAAATAGTGTTGTGATAAATTTATGTTATAAAACGATAATCAGAAGAGAAATTCTAAGTAATATTATAATATATACAATAAGTTAAATGTGATATTGTTTTTTTGCTTCCAATTTAAATTTTCATCTAGAAATATTTAATCTTAATTCTCTATAAGAAACTAAAGATTTCTTTATCTTTTTTATTTTAATTTTAGGTAAAACTTAAAAAAGTGTCATTTGAATGATCAGTTAAAAGATGCTGATCAAATAATATCCAAAAAGAAAAACAAATTGATTGAGCTAATATAGCAATTACTAAATAAATACTATGGGGGCACTTTTGGATACTCCAAAAACAGAAAAATATAATGAACATGGTTCTGGCAATGGATTACATTATGGTGTTGCCAGCATGCAAGGATGGAGAATGGAAATGGAAGATGCTCATAGAGCAATAACTGGTTTAAAAGGTGGTCTCTCAGATTGGAGTTATTTTGCAGTATTTGATGGTCATGCTGGTGCATTAGTATCAGCTCATAGTGCAGAACATTTGTTAGAATGTATAATGCAAACAGAAGAGTTTAAAGCAGAAGATGTTACCAAAGGAATACATTCTGGCTTTCTTCGACTTGATGATGAAATGAGAGAATTACCAGAAATGAGTTCTGGAACAGAAAAATCTGGTTCTACAGCTGTTTGTGCATTTATATCTCCCAGAAACATATATATTGCTAACTGTGGCGATTCTCGAGCTGTACTTTGTCGAGCAGGGGATCCAGTTTTCTCAACAAGAGATCACAAACCTGTCTTACCTGCTGAAAAAGAAAGAATTCAAAATGCTGGTGGTAGTGTAATGATTCAAAGAGTTAATGGAGCTTTAGCTGTATCTCGTGCATTGGGAGATTATGAGTACAAAAATTTGAAAGATAGAGGCCCCTGTGAACAGTTAGTGTCTCCAGAACCAGAAATATTTGTTCGAGATAGAGACGATGAACATGATGAATTTCTAGTTTTAGCATGTGATGGTATTTGGGATGTTATGAACAACGAAGATCTATGTAATTTTATACATTCAAGGCTGTTGCTTACAGATGACCTAGAAGCAGTTACGAACCAGGTCATAGATACCTGTCTATATAAGGTAATGATATCTAAAACTTTTTATGTGTATTTTTTTATCATAAATTTTTATTACTAAAGATATGTCAATATAAATATATAAATTTTAAAAAATATATTTTTATTTTTATTTATTTTTTCATTTGTTTCAAAATTTAAATTTTAATCTTAGTATTTAATAATGATAATATGATAAATAAATGATTTCAAAAAAATAAATTATTTTTCATATTAATATAATTAAATTTATATATTGAATCATTCATTTCATAAATTTTTAGTTACAATTACTTAATATATGTTAATATATGTTAAGTTTTATATAATATTTTATTTTTATTTACATATTTTATTTTATTTTTTATTTATATAATATTATCTATTTATATATTATGTTGTATGCTATTTTTTTTATGTATTTATTGAATAGTTTTAATTATAATAGTTTTAGTTATAATATTTGATTAATAATATATAATAATATATCAATATAATATAAAAAATATATGTTTTATTAATACATATATCAATCATATGTTTAATAATTATCAAATTTATAAATAATATTAATTAAATTGTAAATTTTATTTTTTTTTATTAATAACTAAAAATATTTTTTCAGATTTATATATTTTTATTTGTTGCAGGGTAGCAGAGATAACATGAGTATAGTTTTGGTAACATTTCCTGCTGCTCCAAAACCAAGTCCAGAAGCACAGAAAAAAGAAGCAGAGCTTGAAATGGCCATTGAAAGGAGAATCAAAGGTTCATTCACATTTCCATATTCACATCAATTATATTCTCTCTGTTGTTGCATTAATACAAAATCACAATATCATACACATATTTGACATTCTAATAGCTCTTAAGTAGAGCAAAATATTTAAATATATTATTTAAAAATTTTAGTACAATTCAAAATACAATCATTATAGTATGAATAAAACTTACAAGTACAAATATATTATCAAATTTGTATTTCTTACAAGTTTGGTACTCAAATTTTGATTCACATTTTTTTAATATCTTTAAATATTTTTAAAAAATAAATATCTTCTAGATATATCTTCTATTTCATATATAAAATATATTAACTTAAAATGAAAATATTAAAATATAACATTATATTTCTATAGATATTAATCTGAATATAAAGATACATTGTTTATCTTTTTAACAAATCATTACTTCTTATAACACAATATTCTTAATAGATCAATTATTTATTATATACTATTTAATGATAAAAATATTTTTATAGTAAATATCACATATTTTTTCTAAATACTTCTAAATCTTTCTAATTGTCTGAAGAAAATATATATACATATACATACATATATATGTATGCATATTTATACATATATAAATGTTTACATTAAGAAATGTCAAAAATTTATTCTTATGCAATGAATTATTTTATTATATGACTTATTAATTAATACTTTTTAAATAATTAATTATAATATTATTCCTTATAAATTTAGTATTTATAATTACTGAATATAATTTAACAGATAAAATTATAAAAAATATATAATATAATTAATTATGTAAATTGTGTATATCACTAAAATAATGAGTACATTTATTATTGATACTCTATTTGTCATATTTGTGCAATATAAAAAAATATTTTCAGTATAAAAAAAAAAGATCAATAAGTAATATTCAAGTAAAAGATGAAGGTTTATTTTTACAAATATATATTTGTTTTTTGTCTTTATTTTTAATTCTTTATTTATATAGTGTATGAATAAATTTTAATTTTTTTAATATTTAATTGTTGATATAATTATATTTTAATAGAATTTTTTTCTTTTGTGTGTGTGAATTTAAAATATATAAAGTACTTGTAAATCTAAAAAAAATATTTGATACAACTTTTATTTTAATATTCATTAAAATATTGTAAGCACATACTATGTATAGCATTTTTGATCATGTTATCAATTATACTATCAATATAGAATCTATTACAGTATTATTAGATTTATTAGAGTATTAACAATTGCGTTTCTTATTTAAAGTGTTAAACAGATAGCAAAATTATAAATATATCATCTATATGTAATGATAATTTTCTCTTTCTGTGTGTGCTGTCAAATTGTATTAATTGTTTTTCTTTTAAAATTAAACTCTTTTAACATCAATCATTATTTTTACTCAAAAATGCATTCCACCCTTGGAGTTGGTATTCTTTTAAACTCTTTTGTAAGTAAAATTTTTATTCAAAAGTTGTTTGTTCCTCTTTTCAAATATATTTAAAAGCTATTACAGGTAGGTGAACATTTTTTTATGAAAATTTAGAAATATTTTACCTATTTTACCTATTGTATCTTTTTTTTTTTTAATAATGCATTTCTTATGGAGGAACATTGCAACAAATATATATATTTTTATGTGTATATGTATATGTATGCATATTTGCGTGTGTATATGTGTGTATGTGTATGTGTGTATATATATATATATATTACATAAGATTATACAATTCCAATGGTGGATAAATCTAATAGGATTATTAAAAACATATTTCTCTACATAATCTATATACAAATAATATAGATACCAATGTATCTACTTAAGACCGGATTTTGTTTCCAAGATTTCCATAAGAAATGTAAGAAAGCACTAATTTTTCCAGTCCTAAGTAGATGCATGTATTTGTAGTCATTTTATGTGTTTATCATTTATTTCAATAACAATATATTATAAAATAATAAAGTTATAAGCAAGCAAATCAAAATTTTTACCATATATCAAGTACAGTGCATTTGATTTTTTTAAACAATATTGATCAAATGTTTGCTGCACAAATATGATAGTATATGCACAATATGTTTTAATAATATAGTAGATAATATTTTTAAAGATATTTAAAATAATGATAATTAAGTTATAAATAATTTTAATTATTTAACAAATTGTAATAATTTTTTATTATATTTATAGAAATAGTTGCTGAACAAAAGGATAAAAATGAATTTGATTTTTTGCAACTGTTACAACTTCTTGTGGACCAAGAATTTCCTAATCTTCCGCCTGGTGGTGGTCTTTCAGCCAAGTATGTATATTTATAAATTATTATATTTTTATTCTATTATATTTTTCATTTTAATTGATAAATTAAACATAAACTCATATTAAAGTTAATGTTTTTGATATTAAAATTAATCTATTATTTTATTTCAAAAATTGAATTTCATTTTTTCATTTATTGTTTTAGAATTTCATCTTATAATTATATTTAAATAGAATTATTTATAAAATTATATTTTAAAATTAATTATTATATTTTTTTTTTTTCTAGACAACCTTTCATTGAACAAGTGTTTCGAGAAGTATGTCCCAGCCGAGCGGATAGTGTAAGTCTTGGATACGATTTCCCTTCGATATAACTAACCTTTGACTTTTTTGTATACTGCATCAAATGTACAACTGTAATCATTAGACATGTTCCATAATCATATAACGATGCAGAAGTTTGGAAATACGTTTATTTTATTGATCTCTTTTAATGTAAAAAGAGATTCATTTTTAACTTGCAAGAGAAGTACACTGATATATTATAAAGGAAGGATATATTATAAGGGAATCTTACCTAAACTAAATCTGCAAAACATGGGCAGATCTTACATTCTTGCAGTGCGTTATTGTTGGTAAAAATAAATTAGAGTTTAAAACTATATTTAAAAATCCTGATACATTCACCCATTCAAAAAAATAAGTAAATAATTTATATTTCAAATTTTTAAATAATTTTATATATCCAATGATAATAAGAAATGTTAATTTTGCATTTGGAATTACTTATTTAAAAAAATATTTAAAAAAATGTATTCATAATTAATAATTATTATTAAAAAAACATATTTCTTTTATCAGTTATATTAAAGGTTTAAATAACAAAATTAATTAATAATATAAAAAAGAAAAATAATTTGTTTTGTATTGCCACCTTTCTGAAAACATATTATAGATTGTAAACTGATTAACAAATGTTAATATTCAAACAATATTTAAGCACTGACAGATATTTCTTGATATATTTAATTATATAATTTGAAAAAAAAAATGTGAAAAATGAACTAAAAGTATATCCTACAGCTAATTCTAATCAATATTGATATTGATGGTTTTCATAATTATCACTATCTATTGTTGGATTTTATAAATTCTTCATCCAAGGAGTAAAAAAATATTATATTACAGTTATAAGCAGAGGATTTAAAAATATTCTATCAAGAACATATGCAAATATACATATATTCTATGAAAAATTAGATAATGTGAAAATTTTGAAATTTAATGCAATAAAACTTAAATAGTTTATGACTTTATCTTCCAATTATATTTTAAATTATTTGACTTTTTTACATTTATTGATTATATTTTTTCTAGTAATGTATACAATATAAATATTTTACAATATATATATATATATATATATATATGTAAAAAAAAGATTATTTTCTATTTTTAAATAATAAAATTTTATCAAAATAATATTATCTTTTATAAATTTAAATTATTTCACAAATCTAGTTTTTCATTATAATTAACACTTGATAGAATATTTATATCATATCTTCTTGCTATGTTGATAAAAACTGCATAATATTACTATAAACAATTATATATTTTTGTAGCTCTAGAGAACTTGCGCTCAGAACAATTACTTCTTAGATCAGTTTTTCATGCTCTTCCTTAATAAGTTTTAAGTATAATTTATAGCTATTCATTCTATATTTTGAAAGGTCTCAAATTTTGTCACGCGCTAGAAGAGTAGAAAAACTGATCATTTAGTTTTAGAAATAATATGTATATACATAAAAATTATGTCCAGGAAATTATGTATCAATATTTTATTTAGATCATTTTAAAAATCAAGCAGTAGGAATATAGTAAGGAGGCCTTGATTTCAGTTTCTTAAGAAAATATTATATTTGTATTTAAATTACATTATGTATATTTAAATTATTTTGAATGTAAGACCAAACTTGAATTGATGAATTTAAAAATTTTTAATTATATAGAAATTATATAGAATGACATTAATTACAAAAAAATCAACATTAAATGTTACATGAGTTATAAACAAACAAAAATCATTAAGATGCATGTTTCATTATATAAATATAAGTAATGACAAGTAAGTAGTACTTAAGATACATTACCAGAATCGCATTATTGATTTCTGAAGACATTAAATATAATAAATAATATTTATATAATATTTCTACACAGAGATTTAACTGGTTAATGAAACTGCATATATCAGGTAATCATATATTTATTTTTATATCTTGTTATGTGATTAATTTTATACCTTTAAAAATTTGTGTAACAGAAACTTGTCAAGGCCATCCTCAAACATAAATTTAGCATACATATACCAAAGTATATATTACCGTTCCTGGTTAAAAGAAAGGTCCTGAAAATTAACAAACGTTAACAGTCTATTATCGTTTTAAAGTAATATATTAAAATAAATAACAAATCCCTTAGAGTTATCTCCTCTATTTTTACTAATAATGAAATATGGAGTGTATAAAGGTAGTAATATATTTTACTGATATCTTAGACCATTTACTTTTGTAGGTTTTGCTCAGATATTAATTTTTATTTTGTATATTTTTGAAAATGTTAATTAGTCATTGTGAATTTATGACAAAATATTGAAAATATACAAATTTATTCGTCTATAAATAATTCAAAATAAAAATTACAAAGTAGTTAAATAATATATATACATAACAACAAATTTAAAAACAAAACATTTGATTATTATCAAAATTCTTGTGTATTTTTAATTAAAAAGTAAAGTATTTTATCTTGATAAAAATCATAAGTTTATTATTAATCTTTTATTGGATATCATTTATTTAAATATTAATAATAACAAAAATAACAGTATATTCCTGATAATGATAACAATGGTTATGAAAATAAATCCAAAGTGCATTTTTAACACACGTGTTTCTACTATTTTTCTTTTTCTACTTGTAGTCCTATTTTGTATTCATTCTCTCTCTTTCTCTTTCTCTCTCTCTCTCTCTCTNATTTTGTATTCATTCTCTCTCTCTCTCTCTCTCTCTCTCTCTCTCTCTCTCTCTCTCTCTCATTTGTTTCAACAATAAATTTATTTTGCGTTCTGTACTTAAAATATTGTTAATATTAATATTATACAGAATAGGGCTATCAGTTTATAAATATGATAATATTCGCATTTATAATGGTTATTTATTTTTTTGGTTTGTGTATACCTATATATTTATAATTTTTTTTGTGTGTTTCTTGGATTTTGTTTTCAAAAATATAATAAAATATGCTTGCATAATAATTTTATAACAAAATAATAATATTTACATTTATTTTAAATAATCAGCATTTAAATATTACATGATATATTAAATGAGTAAAAATAAAATTTCATTAATATTTGTACCTGAATTATTTTCTTCTTCAAATTATTGTAAATTTCTTGATTTCGTTTAATATATATTAATATTTTAAATCATACAATATTTATTATTCTGATTTTTAGATCTTAAACAAACAAAATAATTTCTTTAAAAATTTTATCATAAAATCATTAAAAATTCATCTTTTTATTATTTTATAATCCTTTTATATCCTATTTTCATTCTTCAGATTACATTTCAACAATACTCGAGTCCTTTCCTGCAGTCCAAGTTGAATTCTCCGATTACTGATTTCAATAATAACTGTTAGTATTTGAATCTAATTATATATATTGCATAATTTATTTTACAAGATAAAAAAATGATTACAAAAATAAAAGATTCTCTTGTTTTAAAATAACATCTAAACATGGTAAATAGATATAAAATGATATTGCTTTCTGTATTCTAACATTAACATCTATCAATAATAATATGTATAAATTAATAGTACACTTGAAAATATAAAATTCCTACATATTATATAATCTTTTTCTTTTCTTAAGGGGAAATGCTTTTATTGTCCTCATATATTTTGTATATGTAAATAAAAACAATCCTTTCCTTATTTTTCTGAACTAATAAGATTTTTTCTTAATTTTTACAGTGTAGTACTTAATGCATCATACAATAATTTTGGAATGTCACATGCATTGTGTAAAATTATCTATTTTAACTGCAAATATCTCAAGATTTTAATCGTTTAATTTATTATTTTATAATTAAAATATTATCATTATCTATAAATATTTATTTAATATTATATACATTTACATAATATATATAAAAATTTATAATCATGTAAATGTAAATATATATTATATGCAAACAACAATTAAAATCTTGAGATGAATACATATTTTATATCGAAAATTTTGAATTCAATAGAAAATTACAATTTTATATGTAATGCAGTCATATAGATTTATTGATCAAGATTATTTATCTATAATATTGTATATAATATATATAATTAAACATATTTCACGAGTCTAATCGTTATTATAAGTATGTATATTTTGCGAATGTTTACTTTTATTGCTAAAATTTTTTTTTGAATTTTAAATAATTGACATATTTTATTATAATTGGCATTTTACAGCTTAATATTAAAAAAAATTTTTTTGATGTTTTTATTGTCATTTATTGTTATGTATCTCTTAGATTACTTTAAAAAAAATTAATTTAGAAATTTTATTAAATATTAAAATTATTTATGCAATTTTGCAAATATATTAGTCTAAATAATATTGTTATCTTAAATTTTGATATACAATACAATTTTTTTTATTAGAGATTAATAATAAACAATTTTATATGAGAAATAGTAATTATAAATTTTTTTAATTTTGAAATTTGCAAAATTTATTTTCTATTAATTATGATTATAAAAAAATTAATATATTAATTTAAATAATACATAATTTTTTATAAATTTTAAATAAAAAATCATTATTGTTATTTAAAAATTTAATAAACAAACACAAAAATTGATTTCATAACTACATTTATATATACAGTATAAAATATTTTTAATTTAAAATACACATTTAATCTAAGAGATAAAAAAAAAATTTTTAATATAATTTATTTCAATATTTGCTATACTTTCTAATATTTCAAGGTAATCATCTTTGTTTATATCACTAGTGTAAGTATATAATATATTTTTAGTTAATATTATCTATAGTTATTCACTATTTTAATATATAAATATATTATTTATTGGTTCAGTAATGAAGATTTTAAGGATAAAATATTTAACATATGTTTATTATAAAATTAATATAGTCTATAATTTTATATTTTTTAAAATTATAATGTAAAATAAATAATATTTTATTTCTTCTCTATAAAAAAATATTAAGAAAATTTTTTTTTTTTCTTTTGTAAGTTAACTTATAATAATATTTTATTGTAAATCAAATATATGTACATAAACATTAAAATACTATATAATGATATGCTTACAGAATTCTCAAGCCACTTAGTGTACACAATATGTATACAATTTTATACATGTGATATACATTAAAACTGGTGAACCCAAAAGTCATGAAATGAGATACCAACCAACAAGAACTACTGAGGAGTACTACATGAAGAGAGACTGAGGAATGGTGTTACAGGCATATTTAATTTCTAATTAAATAATTTTTGGAAATTGCATTGTAATACTAAATTCAGTTACAAAATTTATTGTACAAAGCATTTTAATTTTTAAGTAAATATAAAAAAATCTGATCAAGTTCTCTATAGCAATATATTATAGGTTTTTACTTTGAATATATAATTAATGTTGTATATTATTATCCTTCTACTAAATAAATATTTATCAATTATATTTTATCAATTTCCTATTATTTATACATTTCAAAAATATACATAAATATACTAGATTTATTTAAAATTGTATGTTCCATTTATTTAAAATTGCATGTTGCAGATTCCATGTTCATAATATATATTGCTTAATATTAAATTATAAAATATAAAACAGAAATAAAAAATAAATTCTAATTTATTTGTGATTTAACTAATTAATACATATCCATTTTATATAATATATAAATTATATATAATTAATTTATATTTTATAATTTATATTATAATTTACATTTACTTATTAGATTAATTAAAAATATTTTTTTGTTTAAAAGAATATTTTACTATAATTGAAATTTGTATATTTTTATTTTAATTGAAGTACATAAAGTATGATATGCTATTGAATTTTTTAAATAATTATAAATTTTTTATTGATTTATAAATTTTAATATATAAAATCTTGTAATAATATTCAATCATAATTTCATAAAATAATTTTGTTCATATGATTTATAAAACAGTATAGTTTTTGAACATGCATAAAAGTATTTAATCAAATATAACTGTATAATTTTATTTCTTTACATAATTAAATAATTACATTTTATTTTAGATTTAATGCTAGAAG